GGGCCGGGGAGATGGCTCAGTAGAATAAGTGCTTCCCTGGCAAGCTCAAGGGTCTGAGTTCAATCCCCCAGTTCTGCCAAAAAAAAAAAAAAGAAGAAAAAGAAAAAAAATTGAAATAATTTCTTGTGTATTTTCAGATCATAATGGAATGAAACTAGAGATCAACAGAAAGAGAACCCGCATAAACTGTACAAACACACAGAGATTGAACAATTCATTTTTTAAGGATCGATGAGTCATTGGAAAAATCAAGAGGGCATTTTAAAAAGTCACAGAATCAAGTGAAAACAGGACACAGCATATTGGAATCTCTGGGATACAGCAAAGGTAGTCTTGAGAAAAAAGCTTGTAATGATGAGTTCTTACATAAAAAAGATGAAAGTTCTCAAATAAATAACCTAATGATGCATGTTGAGATTTCAGGAAAACAAAGAAATTAGAAGTAAACTCAGTAGCAGGACAGAAAAGAATAAACACCACAGTTGAAATTAACGAAACAGGGATTTAAAAGATCAATGAAAAAAAGTACAGTTGGTTCTTTGAAAAGATAGAAAGATAGATAAACCCTTAACCAAACTAATCAAAAGAGACAAAAATCAGATCAATATAATAAGAAAAAGGAGCCACTACAACAGATAACACTGAAATCCAGGGGATCATTAACGACTCTTTCGAAAACTTTAGTCCAATAAATTAGAGAATCTTAGAAAAAATGAATTTAAATCAACATATATCACAAAATTGACCCAAGAGAATATAAAAACCTAAATAGATCAATAGCAAGCAATGAGACTGAAGCAAGCACAGAAAGTGCCCAACCAACAGCCCAGCACCAGAAAGATTTACTGCTGATTTTGTCAGACCTTTAAATAGGAACTAGCGTGAATGCGCCTCACACTAGTCCCTGTTTTGGAAAGGGCAGGGACTCTCTCCAGCTCATCTCATGAGGCCAAGATCATCCTGATCCCAAACTCGACAAGGACACAGCAAAGAACGGAAACTTTAGGCCAATGTCCTTGAGGAGTGTACTTGTAAAACTCCTTTTAAAAAATACTTGCAACCAGGCGTGGTGGCACATGCCTAGAATCCTAGTGCCTGGGAGGCTACGGCACAAGGACAGCCCTGAGCTTGAGGCCAGCCTGGACTACAAAGCGAGTGCAAGGCTAGCCTGAACTACACAGTGCGCTCTTATGTGAGGGGGAAAAAAAACATGCTAACTGAATTAACAACAGACTGAAAAAATATTACACCATGATCACATTGTTTTCATTTCAAGGGTGTTCCAACATACGCAAATCAATAAACACAGCACACCCAATAAATAGAAGCAAGGGTAAAAATGACATTAGCTCAACTGATACCGAAAAACCATTTGATACAATCCCATATTCCTTCATGACAAAAGCCCTCAACATAGCGAAGGCACAGATCACCAACCTACAGCTAAAGCGAGACTGAGTGGGGAAAAGCTGAAAGCATTTTCTCAGAGGTCAAGAATGAGGCAAAGAGGCCCATTCTCACCACTCTTGCTCAACACGGTGCTTGGAATTGGAGAAAGAAATAAAAAGGATAAAGTAGGATACATTATTGTTTGCAGATGACATACAATATACTTAGGAAACCCTAGAGACTCTATGAAAAGATTTTTAGATCTGATCAACAAATTGAACAAGGGCCATCCAGCTAGCTCAGCAGATCGAAGCACCTGCTTAGGCAGACGCAGCTGAGACGGTGACTGAGCCTGGGCATGATGGTGCATGCTTGTAATCCCAGCCCTTAGGAGGATGACAAACAGGAGGATAACCAGGAGTCTGATCTGTGGAGTGAGACCCTGTAGACCCTGTACTAAATATATTTTTTAAAAAAATTGAACAAAGTGTTAGGATTGAAAAAAAAAAAAAAAGCCAAAGTGTTAGGATTCATTTTTTAAAATTTTTATTTATTTATTTATTTATTTTTTGTGGAACCAGGGATTAAACTCAGACTTTTGCACTTGCCAGGCAAGTGCTTATTCTGAGCCATCTCCCCGGACCCTGGATTTGTTTAAAAAAACATTAAAAATAGTTTTTCTGAGCATGGTGGTGCACGCCTGCAGTCCCAGCACTTGGGAAATAGAGGCAGGATTGTTGTGAGTTGGAGACCAGCCTGGGCTACAAAGTGAGCATAAGGTGGAGGTGCGGGTGTCAGAGACCTCTTTATGCGTTGTCTTGGCAGCTGGCGGGAAGCAAACGTATTTTTGAGAGCTAAGGGCCCCAGCGATCCCGCTTCCCAGTGCAGTGGAAGTCCCAGATTGCAGCAAGGACAATGTCAGAGCAGGCTGTAAAATATGTGGCTACCCTGGTCATCTGACTTTCGAATGCCACAATTTTCCCCAAGTAGACCCCAAAAGGAATATAGTTTTGGATGTCAGCAGGACAAGCAGTGAAGACAGTGATGAAGAGAATGAAGAGTTAAATAAATTACAGGCATTACAGGAAAAAAGAATAAATGAGGAAGAGAAGAAAAACGTAAAGAAAAGGTCAAATTGAAAAAGAAAAGGCCTTATTCCAGTTCTACTGAAGAAGATTCCTCCAAACAAAAGAAACAGAAATAGCAGAAGAAAGAAAAAGAAAATAAAAACAAATCCAAAAAAGGGAAACATCACAAAAAGGGAAAAAAAGAAGAGAAAAAAGGAAAAGCATTCTTCTACCCCTAATCATTCTGAATTCACAAAAAAGTAACTGAGACTTCGGCCTAAATCATTAAATTTAAAATATCATCTTCTTAAAAAATGCTCTTTCTTGGATTTTTCTATATAGTTATGCTTTGCAATAAACCCCAGCCTTCTCTGTATGGACGTTTTTCATTGGTGGGACCATTACCGCTCTGGCCCTGCGTGTTTAAATAGGTCTTGCTCCTCGACTGCCACGTCTCAAGGGTAGATATTTGTGCATAGAGAGCGCATTATTTTCAGTAGTTGTATCTCTGTTTGGCTAGTGCTTTTCCTTCCTAAGTTGGTCTCAAATGACCCTTGTACAGTGAACACAAATAATTTACCTGTTACTGGATATTCCTGAATCAAGAGTCCACCTTCCAGCAATGAAGCTAGGTAGGGGGTCATGATCTGTTGCTGATGCTGGAAAGTTCAATAGGCTTATATACTGTGATGGAATATATAAAAATTGTGCAATTCTTTGCTGTTGTGTGTAAATCTCTAGGCTTTTAAAAATATAGCACATAGGGCGGGCGAGATGGCTCAGTGGTCTAAAGCACCTACTTGGAACAAGCTTGGCAAAGCACAGGGACCACAGTTCGATTCCCCAGCACCACATGCCAGCCAGCCCCGCCCCCTGGTGGGCTGAGCTGGCCACACACACACACACACA